CAGATTGCACGGCTCTGGCACTGTATTACAGACAGCCTAATTATTGTCAGCCAGTTCACCTTGTTTAGATTAGGGATGTAACAGTGCACATATTCATATTGACATTTTTGGGTACAGGTCTTTCAGTTTAGTAAGCATGTGTACCTGATGAATGCAGTGCAATGCTAGATGAGGAGAAGGCGGAATGCTCTGAATGCCTGAGGCAGGAACTGCTGGTAAATTTTGACATCTCACCTGAGACTTATTGTCAATGCTTCAGAGCAACAACAACTCCAAATGCAGAAACCTCAACTGAAACTAACTAGTGTCTCAGGGCTCTCAACAGTCACTGGGTTCGGCCTGAAAAACACACCAAACAAAGGGATTGTTGAGGTGATTATCTATAAACAGCTGCTGAACTGCTCTGCGATATCTGGACTTGGATGAAAGAACATGAACCAGTAGATGCCATGGAATTGGCAAGTGGCGCGGAAAAGCCACATCAGTAAACAGCTTTCTGAACACCCCTGAGCATACCCTTTGGCCTTCATGGAGTTCCTGCTACTTTCCAGTGGTTTATGGACCGTGTTCTTCAGGGCTGAAATACTGGTTTACTTCTCATTTGGATGATGTGGTTGTGTAGGCAGTTTAGAAGCTGAAGATAGATCTTTGAACGATGTTGATAATTCTTGACTGGGGGCACAAATCAAAGCCTATAACAGCAATGAAAAGAATGTCTCAGTATGGCCTAAGCAATAATATTTGTGGCAATAATTTTTATTACCTTTGTTTGTTGTGGAATGTTGCAGGTTACACCAGAATTTAGATCTGTTTTGTTCTCTTATTCTGCAGAAGTGAAATGACAGACATATTTAAATTACTGAATTGCATGAAACTTCGTCAAAAGTTCTCCAACATCACTCCAGCTAAGAGGTATGTCACAACGGGCAGAATTATGCCATTTAAATAAGAATATGAGCAAATAATCTTATCTAAGGAATAATATGCAGTGACCAGGTTTTGTATCAGCCTCTTTCTTTCTTTTTTATACATAAACAGTGTAGTAATGTCTCTTCCTTTCCCTCAGTATTGATATGACGAATGTCACTGGGTATCTCTCAGCATTCATGAGCTGTCCACATGTGTCCAATAGAACCCAAAAGGAGCTAAACAGGTGTGTGGCGAAACAGACAATTAAAGTAAATATGACTGTTGCTGGTGCATAAGTGTATTATGTCCAATTCTGCTTCTGGAGGCCCAGACGTCCAGGCAGGTGTGTTGATAAACAGATAAGCTAACCCTCCAGAAGCAGGACTGGACACCTAATGTGCAGTAACATGAGACATGCAGTAAAATCATCCAATGCAGACAATAAAATTATCTACCATAGATGTCACATTAACAGCTCAACTTCTGCATATAGAGACAACGAGAAGCACAGGTTAAGGAACACTCCACTATTTTTGAAAATAGGCTAATTTTCCAACTC